TTTTTGCAGACTGTTAGAGCAATTTTATAAAAAGTAAGCTTGAAATTTCGATTATGTCAAAAAGAGTTTCCGATTCTGGAGCTGCCAAAGGATCTACTAAGCGAAAGCACGTTTCAGTGTCCATCAAACAAAAAGTGGAATTGCTGCAAAAAATGGATAAAGGCATGAAGAAAGTGACAGAGAAGTTAGTGAAAACGAAAAAAATTTCGATTGACAAGTAAGTCGGTATTCTCAGCACAGCAATTACAGGACTTGAACAGCGGAACTTTGTAACTGAACAAGAAATTATGTCTGTATATAGAATTAAAGAGAAAGTATTAGCACATAAAATGAAGCAACTGAAACAACTTACCTTGAAAGAAATGTTTAATAAAGTAAACAAATCAATATTAAGTTTTTTTTTTTTTTTTTTTTTTTTTGTAAATTTTTATATCCTTTAGATCATAATTGCTCTTTATTTCATGAATTATGCTTTCATATTTTTAATTTTATAATTTCTGCATGCCATCTTACTACATTTAAATTGATGATCTATAATCTGGAAAAACCCCTAATCCGGAATCGCCGAAGTCCCCCGACAAGTCCGGATTAAAGACTTTGTACTGTATATATATATATATATATATAAAGGCTAATGTTTGAACTTAAAATTCTGAGAGAAAATGAAAGTTGCAGCTGCATAGTATGTGGAAAATGTAAAAGAGGAGGATGTTTGATGAACTTCAAATATGTTAATTTTTACTTGAAGATAAAACAGATTGTGAAGTTAATTCAACTTCCCTGGGGACATTATTTTTTATTCTTTAATTTTTTTAAAAGGCCTTTTATTATTTCCATTATTACAATAATTTCATAAGTCAATAAAATTTATGATATTTTTGTTTTGACATTTTGAAAGAATGCAAAATCATTCTCTGAAAGTGAAGGAATTAACATAATGGGGTTCTTCCTTATTATATAGGCCCCCAAGATTGAATCGCAGATGAATTGAGGTATCTCACTACATGCTACATCTTGGTTGATTAGCGATTAAATTAATTGGAGGGTACTAAAATAAGGAAGTACCCATAAGTGATATACGCTGAAGAGCCATTACACCGTCCAACCGGTATAGTGGTTAGCATCGCTGACTGTTATGCTGACACCATGTGCTCTTTATCAAAATTGGGGGTGGAATTGAGCAAAATATCACTTTCGTCTGAATGATGTAAAAGGCTGTTGCCAACGGCAGGCGTATTCTAGCGCTCCTTGCCACGAGGTATTTCGTGAGCTTGGGCTGACTACTTCAAAACAAGTGGGCATAAGCAACAACAACAGAGCCATTAATTACATTATGACCATCCTCCATCTATAACAATGGGCTCGCCCAGGAACAAAAGTACTGCGCTTACACGTCCGATGTTGGAGGATATAGAATGGCTGTGCTAAATAAAAGCATATAAAATAAAATAAATATAAAAAGATATAAAATGTCTTTCCAAACATAGCACAATTAGCGACTTAATGAGAAAAGCAGCTGATTTATCAGACTTTGATACAGGTGAAACCATTATGGCTTGGCTACTGAGAACATCGATATCAGAAACGGCACATTAGTTTACATGGAAAGTGGTGTATGGATGGTGAACGACAAGTTGCTGGCCAGCAGTGTGTCGTGGATGTCGCATTGATTCCAGAGGAGAGCGGAGACTGCTACACATTATTTGCCGTGATCAAAGACCTACAACAGCCAAAATCACCACCAGCTACAACACTAGCGATCCAGTGTTGTAGCTGGTGGTGTTTCTCAACACACTATGCAGCATATATTGCTGTGTAGAGGCCTTGCCAGCTCTATCTGCAATGGGCCGAGAAACATCGGAATTACACATTAGAAGAATGGAAGAAAGTTGCATAGTCCAAAGAATCACGTTTTCTTGTCCATCGCATCAACGGGCATGTAGTAATACACCGATTTCCAAACAAAACTCTGGCTCCCGGATGCACAGTTGGACATAGACAAGCCAGTGGCAGGGGTATTATGGTGTGGTCAATGTTTTCATGGAGCACATTAGGATACATAATCCCCATTGAACAGTCCTTGACGTCTATGCACTATGTGAACATCGTTGCAGACCAGTTTCACCAGTTTTGACAATAGCATTTCTGGCAGGGATAGTGTTTACCAACAGGATAATGCACCGTGTCATAAGGGTCACTTTTATGTTAGGGAGCGGTTCGAGGAACATTTAGTCACTTTTAAGTCACGTATTAGTCTCCAAATTCACCTGACATTGATCCAATAGAACAGCGGTCCTCAACCGGTGGTACACAAGAGAAAAATAGGTGGTATGCAAAGAACTCTTAAATTCAAAAATTAAAACTCCAATATCCTGATTGAGGTTTTCCTCTAACGCTCGTAAATTTGTGCGATCTGAGCTTTGTTCAACAGTGGAGAAGGTAGTAGTCCTTTGTAATGATGGTACTAAAGATTTTCAATTTTTGTTTAGATGGTACGTGTTATTCAAAAGGTTGAGAATCACTGCAATAGAGCATTTGTGGGCCCACTTGGAAAACCAAATTCATTCTGCCACGCTACCCCCTCGCAATGTGCGAGTAATGCAATACCATTCGATGAGCGCTTGGTAGCAGATACCTCAGACTACACAGCAGCAGGGCTGTGGAGTCGGTAGGGAAAATTACCGACTCCTGGAATTTTAAAGACTCTCACTCACTCATATATATGTAAACATATACACATGGGTTGCAGCTTATTTTTTTAATATAAAAGAAGTAATAGATGCTACAAAAAATTTATGGCATAGCAAATTATTTATATTAATTAGTATTTATCATGAAATGGAAAACCTGGAATTAGTAATTTCTAAGGAACAGTATAGCTTCGGCCAGTATCTTTGATAAAGGTCTGTAGATCCAAATTGATGAACTTCAGAGCTGAGAAGAGACTTTCCACACTGACTTGAGTAGGAGGAAGTGCTGTTACTATAGGCTACTTGTTTTAACTTTTCAGACTAGATTTTTATAAGTTCTAAAAGAGGTGCCTTGCAAGAGCAATCATATTTTCTTCAAACGCTGTATAGAAATTTTGTTTCTATTTTTCTCAATTTTATATCGAAAGGCTTTTGGTTCTTTATTTTCATTTGCTTTACCTAAGCCTTTTCAGTATTATCCAAATATTTCAAAATCTAATTCATCACTGGAAGAGGATGATAAGAGTCTCAGTTGCAATGTCTGTAGTTTGCACTCTAAATCTCGCAGGGTGGGATTTGGAGGGTGACAGCAGTTTTCGCTCCGTTTTCGTGTCAAACAAAGCAAATTTACTGTCTTGGTAGCAGAACATGTTTCCCACTTGCAATAATAACCTTGGGGAAGGGAGTGAATTGAAGGAGCAGGACGACCCCCTGTCTTGCCATTGTCCACCCAGACTGACCAAACAAGTTTGCTAAGTCAAAGAACGTTCTTTGGCTAAGCGCCATTTCAAGCGAGGACAGTCGTAACAATGGATACAGCTCCTTTGCCAAAAGTAAGTTCGCTTTTAAAATATATATACAATTATTTCTTAATATAAATATCTTAATTATTATAAATTATAGTTAGATTTATGTGTCAAAATTTAAGTATGTAATAAAAAGTAGTTTTAGTTTGCTCTTTTTTTTTAGGTGTCTGTAAATTTGGTTTAAGAGTGTAATGCTGTAACGTAGTTTTATTTATTACGTACTGCTAACACAATGAAAGCTGTACGTATGGATGGTACTTTTTGTAAATAATTCTTAACATTATTTTTATTTTTGAACAATTTACACAAAGCTATCGAATTTAGTTATTTAAATTTAGTTTTGCATGCATTCCTATTTCAAATAGGAAGAACAGCGGTGGGGAAAAAAAATGCATACTAAAGTTTTGATTTTTTTTATAACACAAGTGTGTAAATTATTTGGTAGTATTGGAAGAAATAAAAACCGTATACTTTACTGAATTTCCTATTGAAGTCATATCGTTTTCAGCTTCTAGTAGTTTTTAATAGATTTTTAATTTAATTTTTTATAAATTCTGCTTATAGTTTGTGACAATAAAATTCACTTACTGTTGCAAAGCTGAATTTTTCCAAAATATAAATACTAGCACTACCTGGGTCATATCAGCATTCTAAAACTTATATTTTTGCAAATATGTTGTTATTCTCGAGAGTGTAGGTGTAGCTACAAAAGTCCGGGAGGCCAATAAAGCTGATAAGACGGCTTTCCGTTTACGATTTAAAAAAAATCTTGCATTCTTTAAAAAAGACTGAAAGCTTCAGATTTTAAATTACGTCCAAAGGGGCGTTTTTTTAACATTTTGTGTGTTACCTTTATTTATTAAATATCATGTTCTTCGCACTTAAACCATAAAAACATTCAACAGCAATATCGCAAAATAATTTTAAAATGAACATATCTTTAGAATTTCCAATACAGAGTCTCGCGAGCTGGAGGGGTATATATATATAATATATATATATATTTTTTTTTTTACACGACAGTCTTGCCATTGCTCGCTTTGAAATCGTTTACTTTGTTAATCAAAAATTCGTTGAAGTATTACAAAATATTAAATAATAACGAAAATAATAAAACCAATTTCAAATTCAAATTAGGGCTTCCACATGCCCATATTCTATGGAAGATTACCTTATTCAAATTTTGTTGGCTTTAGGTGCCGTTGTTTTATTACAATGCGAGAAACATACATACATTCATGCAGATTCTTCATTATTTAATTTCTTTAAATATAATGTTTGGTGGCAGCAATTTGAAATGAAACATATCGGGAAATCGATGCAAAATGCCCAAAACGAAATTAACAGTCCTTCTGGGAGAATTGCCCCTTTGGACTAAAAAAAAACCCAGCTATTTAAAAAAAAAAAAAAAAATAAGTTTTGATTTTCTGATGACAAACTGAAAAAACTTATTGTATTATTAAATGTTCCAGGTCTACTCTGTTTTTAATTAAAAAAACTATACCGAGTCCGGATTTTTGAAAATTCCAGATATTCAGTTGACTTTATATGCTATATACATGTATTTATTTTATGCTAAATATGTATTTACTGACAAATATACGTATATGCCAATATATAATATGTACACCAAATGTTTATTTCTTTTAATGCAAATAAGAAATTAAAAAAAAACAGTATTTATTTTAAAAAATGTAAGGCATGTTTTTTCTCAGACTTAATTAAATAGTAAAATTCGTACATGTCTAAACATTTTTATTTCAACTGAAACAAAACGACTTTTTTATATGTAAAGCCATAAAACCTAAATGTTTGATGCATTTTTATTTTATAATATGAAAATTAAGCAATATTGCCTTATATTTGTGGCAGCGCCTATCATATTTAAAAATTAAATTAACTTTTATTAACAGATAATAGAAATGCACAATTAAAAAACAGCTTCCCCTTCCCTTCTATTGCGGGAGAAAAATCCTAATTCGACGGTTATTTTTATTTATTTATTTTCCCCCTTCTAAGAAAACTTGTCAGGCATACTTTCAAAATTGTCCGAAATATATACTAATTTAAACATGATAATTCTAAAATGATTCATAGATTAATTCATATACATCAACTCAATAGTTAGAAAGTTAAACTAATGACATTTACTTATTACTTTTCAAGATTATTGCTTTTTTTCATTTCAATTAGTTATTATATCTTCTCCTAGTGATATTAAAATGAGTGAGAGGATCTGATGAAGTAATGTTCAAAATAATATAATTGTTTACATTAGCAAAAGCTATTGTTGTATCAAACAAGTCTTATAAACCTTTTTCTTATCCACAGTCCTTTAAAGTAGGAAAGAAATGTAAGTAACCTGATTTTAATAAACTCATATGAATTCATTTTCTGGTTTAGATAGGATTTAAAGACCCAGGTAACACAGCTTGTTTACATTTTCAATAACTAAGTTATGTGAACACTGTTAGAGGTGTAGCCAGAGTTCTTGCTGCCTCACTCAGTGCACAATAAAAAGTCTATAAAATGTCAAAATGATATATATAAAAACAAAATATCTGGGTTTATTTTTGAAATAAAACATTAATTCTAATACCGTAATATTATAATTAATGTTTGAAAATCGTAAAGTACTATTTTGTTTGTTTTCCTATACACAAAATCATTAATAGTATTCTAAAAGTTTGATTTAATACTCTATCAGCTGATTTGTAGACAGTATGGTACAATTTCTCAGTCTTAGGTGTTTTTTAATCCATTTGTACTTTGCAAAAGTCTTTTCAAACAGTTGATGTATATCAAAAAATTTACAGATGTAAATTTTGGAACTGAAAAATTTTATAAACTGCAGAAGTTCAAAGTTACCATCCTTCCACCTCTCTGCCTTCGAAAACACTACCGCAAAGAATCCAGTAAATGTAAACGCTGCAAAAGCACAAAGCTGGTAGAATTCTCTTGCGGCCTCCTCGCTTTCTTTCGCTGCTGTTCAAAATTTATTTGCATGTGTCATTTTTTCTCAATTTATTATTATTTTGTCTGATTTCCGTGCTATGTTTCCTAAAAGTGATTTTAAAGTGTTTGCAAAGAAAATTTACAAAACTGCATACTCGAGTACTTGTCTCGGCATGAAATTAAGCATAATGGTTGAGATACAGTCAAAGAAATATTAAATTGCGTTTAAAGAATGTTTCCTTCTAAGATAATATGTTGCCGAAAATTTTCTTAACGGAACAGTTTTTGGGACAATTTTGAGAAAATGGGGGAAGGCCAAATTGATTTCAGTAACTAATATTTACTTTATGTAAATTTTACTTACGTATGCTTAATATTATATTTCTTGCTGCTCATTCAGATCGTAGCTAGGGTTTTCAGCGCCCAGGGACAACTGAAGATTTCGCGCCCCCTACTGCTTGCCAAGGATGGAAAACATTTAATTCTAAAATGCCGTAACATCATCAGTTTGGCGCCCCCTTGGATCCTGCGCCCGGGGACAGATGCCCCTTGCCCCCCTCTAGCTACACCCCTGCGCTCATTTTAATTTATATGCCCTAAATACCATGTTTAACAGGCTGTTAACTTACAAATGCTTAAACATGCTAATATCATTCTTTTTCTCCGAACATTAATGCACATCCCCTAAATAATTACCCACCAGCGGCAAAGTCGCTGAGCACTGGTAGTTCGGTCCAGAGTTTGAATCGCATGAAGGAGCTGGCTGCATGGACTTTTTTGTGGTTTTCTCCATGTGTAACGTGTATACGAACCAGTTTGCCTTACAAAGACCTCCACGGAGGCATCCTTCCCATTAGGCAGATTTTTGATGGCATGTCAGCAACTAAAGAACAAATAAAGGCTTTGAAAAGCTGTCAGAATTTTATCGAACCTGTCGAAATTATGCTTGGCAGTAGATTGGATCAAGCTCTGAATACAAAAACAGGTCAATTTGAAACCAAAATTGTAAAAGAAACATTTCAGTATGTTTCAGTCATTAAAACAATTGAAATGGTTTTGTCTAATAGCCATGTAAGAAATTGTATCGAAACTGAAACAATTTCTAATGATAGACATTTAAAAAACAGTTTTCATCTTTTTATGTCCCAAGAATTTTGAAATATGTGGAAACAAAACGCCTTGATCTTCTGGTACCAAGTATTGCTGATTTCAGTGGTAAAAATCTTTAAAAATTTAACTAGGATTATAAATGATAGAATTTATTTAGGATTATAAATGATAGAATACTTTAAAACTTTTCTTTGTTTACTTTTTAATTACCTAGAGTAAAGTAATTTTGCATCTATTACTCACATTCGTCTTTATTCGTAAATGGCTTATAGTTTGTTTCTTCTGGCTCATAAAGGTAAGCTGTAAATGCATGTGCCTCTAGTGCCAAAGGCCTTTTTTAATGATATTTTTGTAAATCATTATGTAATAAACGTGTGTTGTATTTATATATATATAGAGAGAGATGACCTAAAAGCATTAGTTTTGCTCACAGAAGAACTTTTGCTCAGCTAAAATTATTGGAAAGAAGAGGGGAAAAAGGTTTTATTCATTATTAATGAGTAAATATTTGGCATAAGTCTATGCATAAAAATAAATTTCATATGCTTAGCTATAAAATTCTTTTCATAGGATAATATTTTTAGTTTGCAGTGTATGTATATGTAAATAAGCTATTGATACTATATGTAAGTGAGCTTGAGCTGCATATCCTTTGAAATTTGCTACATATTCTATCTTGAAAGGTTCATGTGTGATATTTATATAGTTTCAATTAATTATTACATTTCACATGCAATTTTTATATCCAGTATATGTCTTTTATATATACTTTTATTTTTATTTTTGTAGGGTAAAGGCAAAGCAAGTATTTTAGCATCAGGCTGTTATTTGAAAAAAAAAAAAAAAAAATCCAAATTCTGCACTTCTAATATTTGCTAAATGTAAGTATTGAGGAATTTTGATATGCTTTGCACTAACTTTCATTTTAAGAGGGCAGATTATATTAAAATGAGCCATTTTACAACAGTGAATGTATTTGGCCTCATGTGGCTAAAATTCATCTTCTCAGGCTGCTTTCGACTATTGTACCCACAGATGATGCATGGTCATTTAGCTAATTTCTGTAGAATTGGAATTGCACTGATTTGAATGTCACCTACATACTAGCAAATATTTCAAGAGAATAAGATGGTTTGTAATATGTGTGATGCCTTTATATGATCTAAATCTAAAGCATGACACTAATCATATATATGCATGTATATACAGTGAACATAGATTTTTTTTTTTTTTTTTTTAACTTGTAAAGTGCCAGACTATAGCGATCATGAAATCAAGAACAAACATCTTTACAATAACAATAGTTTATTATGAACAACAATAGTTTATTATGAAGGGATGATACTTGTTTTTATAAGGAAAAGACAGACTAATTCTCCATATAGTTTGTTCTTTTTACATTTTTATGTACATTATTTATTACATTTTTCATTAAGAAGCAATGCACAAATAGACTATCCTATTCTATATTTGCATCAATATAATATTTACATATTCCTATATGTATTTATACTGCATTTTTACAGAAACTAAAAGCAAAAGACCTCTATGTGAATAAAATTACTAGGAATTACTTATTTTTGAAAGAAGAACAAATTTTCTGGCGATATTTTTTAATTGGAAAGATAAACTTTCTAGTATGGCTCATTGGTATTTGACTTGTCCTAATAGATAGGTAATGGATGTATTCTTAATAAAGAAATTTATTTTCAGGGAATAGAAGACATGGAATCTCTTGGACCAGCTCAGAATAAACAGCCTTGAGAGACTTGGATTATAGTTAACATATATAAAAATATGTGTATTTTACAATTATTCACCTATAATGTTCAAAAGCAAAAAGGGTTCTATATTAAAATTTAATTTTAAGCAGTAAATCACTTAATATTTTATATTAAAGCATGCCCCAAATCATGCCATGAAGGCATTTGACATTCTATTTAAAACTAATTTTGTATTTAGCGTTCAATATGCACATACATCAACAAATTTTTATAATTTTATGGCAAGCCTTTTGTATAATGTCAGCACTCCTAGAGCTTGTGTGGACTCTTTAAATACATGTTTGAGTAATATATCTGATATTTATTGCATTCTGTACATGCATTACATTTCATATTTTTAATGTCATTTTATTGTCATATTTTCCATTTTTATATATGTATATATATGTACATATATTTCCTAATAAAGAGTTTTTCATGCATTGCTTGTTTTCACTTTATATTTAAAATACTTTGTTCATTGAAATTATTATAATTCTGCAGTTATGGTAATGATTCCTATTCGGATTTAATCAATAAATGAAATACATAATAATTTTCAGCAGAATTATGAAAAATGAATTTTTAGCTTACACATGTGAGCTATAATCCATATTATTTCACTTTAAAATTTACTTTATTTTTCCCAAATGAGACTTGGAATTAGCATATATAAAAATAAGTTATAGTCTAAAAGTATATGTAAGCATTTATTCACCTGTAATGATTAATGTATAGGAATTTGTATGCATATAACTTCTCAAAAATAGAAAGTGTGTAACAAGCTAACTGAAGATTTTAGACTTTATTCATAATTTGGGGTAATAATTAATTTTAAGCTCTTCATAATTATGTAATAAGAAATAGAAACATTTCTTTTGCAATATTTTGTGCAATATATGAAGCTAAAAACAATAGCATGAGAGTATTTTATGGTTACTTATTTTCTGAATCTCATACATTGAAAATAAAGCTGAATAGTTTTCATGTAAGGGAAATTAAATTCGCATTTGTTTCTTACTTCAATGTATATTAAAATTTATTATTCGATTTTTTATGCATATTATGCTCAAGTAGACAAACTACTAGTAACATCAATTCACAAATTGTATTAATATATTCACTTATAAGTAGCATTTTAAGAAGTTAAATCTATCAGATTATGATACAGGTTTACTGACACATATATATATGATCAGCTGTTCTAACACATTCAAATTTTCATTATAAAATTTGTCAAGAACTATTTTTAATAAATTACTTTTCCAACTAGTATGATTATTTAATGGAAAATTTAGCTTACAATTTACATGATTACGTGCCCAAATCTGTGAATAAGCATAATTTGCTTTTTTTAAATTAAAATATGTATACAAAATTTAGAATGTATATCAGTATATATATATATATATATGATTCATCTAAAATGATTTTTTAAATTTCTTTTATGAAACTAAGCATTTTTTGATTTCTCAAATCAAATTTTGAAAATATCTGAAATATTTATTCAAAGTTTTAAGTACCTGAAAAACCTTATTTTTTATTCAAAAACTAAGTTTTTCATTGCGAATATCTTGCTATTCCAGTTTTTATATATAAGTTTCATTGACGTTCTTATTTTTATTGCTTACTACACATAAAGGTTTCTGTAAAATAAAATATATTCTGTGAATTCAAAGTAATTTCACATCAGAAGTACTGTGAGGAAAGTGATAGTGTTAAGTATTTCAGAATGTTAACTACACCGAATTTTCAATATTTTAATATGGATGTAATTTTTTATATGTATATTTGGTTAGATTTGGAAAGAAAAACTATATGTCTAAACAATGAAGATATGATTGTCTTTAAACTGTGTTTTTTTATTTCAGTGATGGTCTACTTTGATTCATAATCCAGTTTTTATATATAAGTTGCATTGATGTTCTTATTTTTATTGCTTATTACACATAAAGGCAAAAGCCATGTTTCTGTAAAATTTAAATATATTCTGTGAGAAAGTGATAGTGTTAAGTATTTCAGAATGTTAACTACACCGAATTTCCAATATTTTAATATGGATGTAATTTTTTATATGGATATTTCGTTAGATCTGGAAAGAAATCTCATCACCAATAAATGTTTAAGTAAGTACATAGGTAGCAAATCTAAAACAGATGTATATATAAGATAATTAAAATCACAATAGCATGTTAAAAAAGTAGTGTAAAATATTTTTTTCAAGAGATAATATTAACCAGATATCTAAAACAATACATCAGCTATAAAGTTTACATAGTAAATACCAATTTTCAGTTTGCCTATAAAATAATTATATAAAAATCACACTATCAAGGAGTGAGCAGACTATTATTATAACTCCTTGTAATGTGTGTGGTTTCACCTGAATATCGGGCGATATCTGACTATCGAAGAAGAGCGAACGAAGAAGGGTCACTCCTGTTTTTGTGTGAAAAGGAACCGCTTTTTACTAGAGTGAAATATCGCTCTTTCGAGGTTGGTGCCATTTTGGCATTAGAGGGAGGTGGGATGTCACTCCTTTAGAGTCGGATAGGACTCTTTCGAATTTAGAGTGTGACCACCCTGATTTGAATACTCCATTTGTCTTGAGAATAATTTCATTCTTAATGAAAATTCATAGATGGCTTTCTTTGCCTTTTTAATTTGTCCGTCATCCAGCTAAATTCGGTGTTTTGGATCTACATATATTGAACCCAGCAAGTTCTCACTGTCTAGCAAACTAGTTTCTCTTTTCTTCGTTGCAGGAATGATTCCTTCTGCAATAAACCCTCTATTTCAGAAAGAACAAACATCACATTCTTCCATTCTCACCTCCTGTTAATTCTTCAGATTGTAGCTTTTTTGTGGCTGTATACACAAAGAAAAGTTTTCAATTCTGCAAGATCATTCCACAGTCTTTCTGTTAGTGAAGCATTAGGGTTATCTAAATCTTCTAAAAATTTCTTTATTCTAACAACCTCTATATCATCAAATATGTACTTCCCCCTCATGTTGCTTGATTAATAATTGCTCCTTTTCCTGCTCACTTCCTAAGAATGGCATTAATTTTTGGAGTTCTTGTCTAAGTTGTAACTAAATGAAGCAGTTTAATCAATAATGGCAAACATCACATCCATCCTCCTCCCTTATATTTATTTATTAATATGTCAATAAAATAGAAAAAAAAACTATTTATTGATGTATATAGTTCATAACTAAAAATAATAACTCGATTTTTCATTAAATCTTTTTTCAATTCACCTTAATTTAATTTCAAATTCAAACTGTCCAATATAAACTGGAGTCAGAGTTGCCGTGTTTTTAGTGACTCTAACTCCGAGTCCTTTTTCCCCTAAATCTGCCTAGCTCCGACTCCCGACTTCACAGCCCTGCCTAGCGGCATCTTATGGAGTCAATGCCACACCAGGTGCTGGCAGTTTTGAGGGCTAAAGGTGGTCCTACATGTTATTAAGAGGATAGTCATAATGTAATGGCCCTTCAGTGTATTTTCTGTATAAACTATGCTATATCATCAATAATATTACTGAATGCCATACATAATTTTCAGCCATTTTTAATCTTAGTAGACTAACATATACATTTTACTCACAAATTTTGTGGATGAATCTATTAAAAATATGCATTAAACATATATAGCAAATCATTGAAAATGTATTCAGTCCCTCCAATAAAGGATGAAAAACTGCTGTTTTACTAATTTTAAATGTTTACTTTCTTAATTTTTACTTAACTATTAATACTTTAGCTATGTTAAGTTTGAATAGTGGTGAAATTGTACATTTTTAGTCAAAATATTATAGTATATAATAAAATTCAAATATTTTTATATATTGAATCTTTCTTCCTTTCTTTTTTTAATTTATTTCATTTTAGTGCTTGCCATGGCTTCCATTCCTGTCACTTCTTTTAGTGCTTCAAAAATACATGATCATGTAAAGTCTAAAAATAAATTTGATGGAACATCAGATGGAGAAACACCTGGAAAGATGTTTCGCTACAACTTATTTGGTAATACACAATTTAATGTTATATATGTATAGAAATGAAAAGTCAGCCGTATTTTGCTTACATACTGATATAGAGGGTGATTCATAAATCATGGGACAAACTTAGAGGGGTTGCGGAGCATATTAAGACATGCATTTTTTTTTTATGGTAATGTAGGGCCTAAAGTGACGGGTTAAGGCAGGAACACAAAAACGACATGCGAGGAAAATGTGTTTATGTACAAAATCAACGCAAAGTGCTTCTTTGTAGCAATACAGTATTCACAATAAATGTTCAAAATTGCAACCACCAGCAGTAATACATGCTTGGTAACGTCGCAGAAGGGATTGACGAACATTTCGAAAAACTATAGGCATTTCGTGGACACTTACAGCTGCAATGGATTGTCATGCAACGAGGTCCTCTAGTGAGTTCAATGGGAGTCTGATAAATGATGCTCTTCAAATGGACCCATAAAAAAAATATCCAAGCTGAAATCTAATCTGGTAAACAAGCTGGCCATCGAACGGGTCCACCACGGCCAATCCAATCCATCGGCCCGGAAATGTCCCATCCGAGTAATTGCGGACCCGCACGTGGTTATGGGCTGGTGCACCATCATACTGAGACCACATGTATCACGAACAACAGCCGGAACATCCTGCAGCAATTCCGGTAGCACCTCTTTCAGAAAAATACGATAACATAAGCCATTTGTACATGCAGGTAAGAGGTATGGGCCTATGAAGTAGTCGTTAACAATACCTGCTCACACATTCATGGAGAAACGGGTTTGGAATGCATGTGACGTGTGCCATGTGGATTATGAGTTGCCCACACATGCATGTTGTGGCTATTGAAGATGCCGTCCTGTGAGAAAGTTGCCTCGTCCATGAATAGCACATCCGATGGGAAATCCGCCTGCGCTGCACACTGCTGCAAGAACCAATGACAGAAATGAACTCAAAGGAGTTAATCTGTCTCTTGCAAGGTTTGGACTCTGTGCAAATGGTATGGGTGCAAACCATTTTCATACAATACTCTCCAAACGATGGAATGACTCAGCTGTAGACGACGTGCAATAACTCTTGTTCATGCAATAGTTCTTGCAGGTGGCTTCAAATGACCCATTTTTTCACACAGAGACCGATGCAACCTCTCGAGCATTGTGTGCTTTGGCATACGCCTGTTTGGAAACCGTTCCTGGTACAACCGTGGCGCTGCTCTGCCGTTTCCATTAGCAGCACCATACACGAGATGCATGTCAGTTTTTTCCCTGTGCGTAAACTCGCCCATCACGCTCGACATCAGAGTTGGGAATGATCCTCTGATGCATCGGATCGTGGTTTGTCCAGCTCACTACCACCCTCTACCACTGCACTGCCAGCCAATCACAGCTGTAGTTCCTATTACTGTTAGTGTTCTCTTTTTTTTGAACATTTATTGTGGAATAACTGTATTGCTGCAAAGTAGCACTTTGCGTTGATTTTGTACATAAACTCATTTTCCTCACTCGTGTCGTTTTTTTTTTTGTTTTGCGTTCCTGCCTTTAACCCGTCACTTTAGACCCCCCCTACATTCCTATACAAAAAATGCATGTTTTAGTACGCTCTACCACCCCTCCAAGTTTGTCCCATGATCTATGAAACACCCTGTATTATAATATAATTTAGTTTTATTTTGATTGCAATTTATTTAATTTTTAAGTTCACAAAGGAAAAAAATTTAGGGATCATTTTATTATTTAATCTTGTATAATTACGCCACGTTTCTTCTTGTGGGTTTTTTCCAGGTATGGATAATGTGTTACCAAACTATAACAGCAAATTAATGAATAGCATTTGGGGTCAATACAATCTGTATGCCTCTCATGCATTCCAGAAGAATAATGAGGGTTCATATTCAGGCTCTGCTTTTCTGGGCATCCCACAGGTCAAGTAAGTATTGAAAAAAGTTTTGTGGTTATATTTTCTTGAGCGTTTTGGGAGGAGAGGCAGAATTAACAGTGTAGTAACTTCAGACTATAATCTAACATCTCAAAGAGTTTACCATTAATTTTTTTTATTAAAGATATTTTAAATTATTAAATTGGCTATCATTATAATAAAAAAAGACAAATACACTAGGAACCTGCTGTAATATATTTCAAATGATATTTAACATTATAAAAGCATACAGTACATAGTCTGAAATTCAGATGCTCAATATTCAGACCACCGGCATTTTTGTTTTTTTAAAGAAATGTTTTGTGAAAGGTCCTGATTCTTAATCTTACTTCAAAACTAATTAAAACACGATCATGTTGAAGAAACAATCATTTTTTAGCTTAAATATATATTATCAGCAATTTGTTGGCTCTGTGGCTGCCGTTTTGCTTGGCATACATCTCAAACAGAAATATTATACTGAAGTTAATCATTGATTGTACATGTATGGAATAAAGTACATCTCTGATGACAACCTAATAATCATATTTTGCTTTCATTAACATGTGACTATCAATTCATGGCAGCTTGATAAATCATATTATATTGAAAAATATAACTAAATAAGAAACTATGTGAAGTTACTTTAGTAACTTAAATTGAAAGAAATGTTTAATAAGCAAATAATTATTAAGCTTTTATGGGAAAGTTAGATTTTAATTTTCTTAAGATCATAAATGTTTCATTTTTTCATAAACAACTATTTCATATTTCAATTTTATAAGCAGACCTACATGTCACCTTATCAGATTTAAATTGAGGAATCTAAAATCTGAAAAGTTCTGCAATCTCTGAAATCCCGAGGAGTCCAAATCTCTGATTTTGTACTGTATATAGTTTTAATTTGAATTGGAAAAAATAAAGACAAGTTATTTTACTTAATGAATTAATTCATTAATTTAAGTTTATTTTCTCTCTCTATATATATATTAAATCTCATATTAATTGTCCAGGGAGAGCTATAGCTTTTTCTATTAAAACTTTTCTAAATTCATAGCTTATTTTAAAATTTTCATATCAGAAAGAGTAGTGTCTCCAAATTTTATTCTGCTCTGTATGAGAGTAAAGCTTCTTTCTTTTTTAAGTTACATGTTTTAATCTACTCATAAGAGTAGGTGAGATTATTTTTAAATGACCTGATACAAATTTAATCATTGTCATCTATATTGTTTAGTGATTTGCATATTTATATCCTGAAAATTCTGGTATTTTAATGAACTTATTTTTTAGGAACCTGTGGGATAGCCTCCATTCACATCAGTAATTCATGTAAGCATTCCATATAATTCTGCAAAGGATATATATTTCTTTCTTATGTTTATTTTATTGTTGTAGAGATGCATATGTTTGAATAATAATAAAAAAAAAAGAATAGTTATTGCCAAAGTATTATGTTAATTAGTTTTTATATTCTATGACTTTTTGTCAATAAATTTAATAATATTTCATTTGAACACTCTGAGTAGCAGCCTAGCAATTTTCATAGCATGCAGATGATAAGAATGATTTTCTAATTTATTATAAAAAAAAGAGAGAGAAAGATGATATTACATGATTAGCATCAATTAGAAGTTAAAATACTACTATTAAAAATAGTTGAAATCAATTAGTAATAATTTTTCACGAGTTCTATGTGAGCATTTTACTTTTTATTAAATTTCACTTGATGCTACCTAATTTAGCTACATTTTCTAATAATTAAAAATAATTACTGCTTCTTTTTGAACACAAGTACTTATTATTCTGAATGCTTGATAATTTTTAATAAACAGTGCTGCATATAACATGTATTACATGGCTATGATCTGCATGTCAGGTAAGTCACAAAACAGAAAATTTAGTTGTAATGACTTTTTAGGAAAAATATTACATAAAAAATGTATTAATTTCAAGTATACAAATTCATATGAATAAGAATATTCAGGAAATACTTTCTGAATACTTTGCTTGAGGCATTTAAATGCATCTCTTTTGTTATCATTTACACACACTTAATAATGAAGAGCTTATTATTAAATACATAGCTAGCTTATGTGTGTTCAGAGTTACATAGCCATGTATATATGCATGCAAATATTTAAAATTTGACTACAATAAATCAGCTTTTATTTTGTGCAATACATTTCTGTTAAAATGTTTTTAATATTAAAATGTTTGAGGTTTACACATGTGCAGTATTAACTGTACATCAAAAATATTAAATTTACAAAATACAATAATGCCTCTCTTAACAAACGTGCTTCATTCCAGGATGCTAATACTATTCATCACGTTAGGGAATAATTTCATAAGCCTGCCCAAAATCTCAGAAAGGTGTAAAAACAGTTAAGGCCATATTAAAAACACTAGAAATGCTATGAATTTACTAGTAGAAGTAAAAAAAATATGTAACATATGTACTCAGCTGCCTTTGGACCAAGGCTTCTTACGTTCTGTCACTTTTGCACCACCAATAGCTTAGAGGTTAAGACAGTTAAATGCTAGGAGTTCAGATGAATGATCTGTCTACATGGTTGTTTTTTGTGATTTTCTCTCATGTGTTACATAAAGACAAGCCAGTTTCCGAGAAAGTCCTCCACGAAGGCATCCCTCCCCCCTAAAATAGTCTCATGTTCTCTTGCTTCCTCAGGATGGTTCTGAAACAATGCCTAGCATTTTTATTGAACAGATCTGCTAACTGTATTCACCTTATTTTATTGGGATGTCATTGCTCTTTTGTGGTCTGAAACCTCTTTTAAATTGGTGGTTGCAGTAGTCATGAACCTTTTGTGTTCCCTTCTTCCCGATAAGAAATTTCTTTCTGGGGCTTCTTTTGTTCTTGCAGGAGTATGCTTTCCTTTTCTGTAGTAGAAATAGTATATTAAAAAATATATTTATGTGCCCATTTTTCTGTTTTTATTTATGCTCATACATATTTTCTATACTTTTACACTACTTGAACAGTGCTAAAAAAAGCTTTCAAATTTAAATGTACATATTAATATTGTTTGACAATGCCCAGATATGGTTTATTAAAGGGGCTTTATTTTTACCATTGCATTTGTTTGTTATCTGAGTCACACTGTACTTAATGCAAAAATAAACGAATATGCACTTTAAATGCATGATGTATTTTTCTGGAAACTAAATCAAATCACAGCATATACTAGAGAATTTGATTGAATGTAATATAAAATCCATTTTGGTTATTAACGATACTGAAAACATTTGTTCATTTAAAATAACAATTTGAGAACGAAATGTTATGTTGTGGTTTATACTAAGGAGAATAATAATTTCTCACTTGCATAACAATTTACTATGCATCTGTAAAGAAAATTATATTTTACTTAAATCAGACTACAAATATTGATGCCTAGTAAAGCGACTACATTGTTTGTGACCTTTCAAAGTCTATTAGACTTAGAATTTATTAGATCCTGATACACAATACATTGTCAATATACTTCACAAAATGAGAGATACTGGCCTTGTCTCTCTCAATAACAGTGTCATTACTAGTACACTATTTGGCCATTCTTAGTAATGTAACAGATATCAAAACTGTATTTCAGCTCTAGCCAAATCTTAGACAGGCGATAAGATATAAGATTCTCAAGTTAATCCAAAAAAAAAAAAAAAAAATCTCAATTGGGAGGATTAGGTAACTGCAAATGCCAGCCAAGAAATACTGAATTCCATCCAATCTATCGTCCGGATAATTGTGTATCCCGTAAATGACTTGGTTTTCAAAATGTTGCAGGGCCCTTTACTGCTGAAATATGGTATCTAGAGGAAGTTGAGACATGACAAAAAGTTCCAGCAATTTGAGGGACAGGTAACTGTTCAGTGAAGAATGGGCCATGATCTTGTCTTTCCTAATGCCCGTCCTTACATTCAGTTTCATTAACTACATGTGGGTTTTCACTAGTCTGTATCTGACAACTGTGCCTTCATCTTTTCACTAATATAAAACAAGCAGCTGTCAGGAGTTCCTCATCCTCCTCTGTTTGTCAGCAAAATAAATGTGCTGTGTATTTTAATCTTGTAGATCTGCAAAAGTAGGCATTTTTTATACATTATGTACAGTGGAATATGGAATCACAAGTTCTGACATTTCCTTTTTTAATGGATTTTCTTGGACTTCTGGAAGATTGTGCAAATTCTCCCCACTTTATCCTCAGGCATCTTCCTTTTTGAATGCATTCAATTCATGCATGAACACTGCAAGCGGTGTTCCAGGTTGTACTCATGACAGAACGCACAAAGCACTCGCTTAACAGACTTCAATTCGACAAATGATAAAATGTGAAACACCTTCTGTTCTGGAGTCCACTATGCCCACCATGCACAAGCACATAACATTTTTGCATTTTTGTAAATAGCAAGTAATGTGCTATTATGCATGTACAGATCTAAACTGCTGCAATTAGTCATAACCTGTTGTTTATGTTTCTTTTATTATAGCTATAAGCCAAAGAGGCTATATCTATCATACATGGTATTAAAAGATGACTATAGGCTTTGTTTCCTCAATTTTGATATATATTGTTAATTACAACATTTCTCAAAATAAAGTAGACTTTTTGAAAAGCAGATCAAACTGGGAGTAGAAAAATTTTATAAGTATAAATTTCAGTTTCAATTATTTCAATACATTAAGCATAAAAGGTTCCATATCTTTGTATGTAGTATTTATGAAGATATAAGCAGAATTTAGTGATAAATCATTTACTGACATCAGGATAAATCTTAATATGCTATACTCTGATTCATGGCAAATTACAAAACTGGCAATTAATAATTCTGTATTATATAAAGCAAAATTCCTTATTAATTTAATAGTTCACCTATAAAGCTACAAATATCTCTAATTGAACTTTTTTCTATACAGAAACCATAAAAAAATTAGGTATTTATATTTACAAAACCCTTCTACTACCAATGCTGAAATTATTTTCATTAAATTCTCTACCGAAAGAAACTCTCTCGAAGAAACTCTGATATATGTTTGGGCTCAAGGATATAAAATCCATAGCATCTTTTTTAAATATTCATTATACTTATCTTAACTCCCCCCCAAAAAAGCTGTAAATGTTATTGTTATTATTATTTAATGAGTATATATATATTAATATTTTAATCTCATTAACAGTTCTGAGCCTGTAGCTTCAAACTGAAATATAATAATTATCAATGTTAACAGTTAATGTGACTGAGTTTAAAACTGGTAAAGTATATATCAATAACTTCATTCAAGTTTTGATTTGCTGCACCAGAAGAGTTAAAACATAATGTAGTATTTGTAAAGATTGACTATTTTTTCTAGTTTACAAATGTTACATAAATTAAAACATGTCAAATTATTCTATAAATTGATATGATACTATTATTTTACTTAACAATATTGAAAGTAATCTCTCTTTAGGTTTGTCTTAGTTGCAGTGTCCGATAGGAATTGACACAGCAACTTGTAAAATTCAACTAATTTTTATCACTTTCTTATTTTGTTAAGAATAATTCTGGACATATACATTGTGCTTCTGTTGCTCAAGTTGATCTGTTCATGATATTAAGTCATTTGTTGTCTTTCATTATCAATGTATTTCTTTGTAATATCAAGTATCTTTATGCAAGATAATTATGTATACCAGCAAGCAGTTCTTATATAATGAAATATAACCATTTATATTTTGTGATACGTTTTAATTTTCCTTTTAAAACAAATAACTAGTTGCTTTTGTTTGAGTTTTTTTTTTAATAGTAATAAAACAACTTTGCTTGCATATTTAATTTGTTTGTAAATTGAATGTCTGAGAAGTAACTTTTTCAATATCTATTTTAGTGCTGAACTGCATTTATTAGATCTAGTTATATTTTTACATAATGTCTTATATTTATGATGATCTATTAAAAATTATTATTTGCAATTGTCATATTTATCTGAATGTAGAACGATTCCTATTTTTTCAGCAACTTCTAAAGAATTAATTTAAAGATATTTCACTCCCTGAATCCATATAAAAAATATGGTTTTATCATTTTGGTTCTACAATATATTGAAGCACAATTTTAGGTATTTATGGAACTTTTCAAAAACAGCATCTTATTGAAATACATTATAAAGGATATAGTGATGAACATTCTATCAATGGTATTTGTATTTACACACATTAAATTTACTGGACCTTGGACACATATTGTTACTCAGTGCCATTTTCTTTTGTTGCCAACAGTAGATTCTGAAAGAAGACACCTTTTTATATGAAGGAATTTGAGGGACGGAGGTAGCAGTTGTGCATGAGGGACCATTCCAACAGTATACAACTTGAAAATATCAAGTTATAATATTGTTTCTTATGTAAATTTAAGATGACCCCAAATTTGTAGATTAAAACCTCGAGTTATATTTGAATATTGATAGTTTTATGTGTAAATTTATGAAAACATAAGAAAAATCATGAATTTTGAAAGTCATACAGAATGCACTACTTTAAAAGCTTCAAATACAAAACTGTTTCATTTCATGAAGTTTTACGGCTTATTGACTCTTGAATAACTAGTTAGTCTCTCATACTTGTTTACATGAGTTTGATAAGAATTTTCTGTGATATCTAATACTTTTAGATACTGCATCATATTTTTAAATAAATGTATACAAAAGATTCACTTTTTTTTTTAAGTTCATAAAATGTCTGATTCATACTGAATTATAATAGCTGAACTTTAGCTGGTGTACCACATTAATACTATTTCAAATGTTATTAATGCAGATTTATTTAAAGAAAGTAATGTATCTTACATGGATTCTGTTAACATGCAGTAACCATTATATAAGAATTAATGATTGATGCATAAATCAAGACTTGCATTTTGATTTAAGTTAATTCAATTAATGCAAACAGCATTTAATATGAAGGTCCATACATAAAATAAAATCAAGTTTTCACCAAGACAGAGACACACATTATGATCTCAGTATTTTTCTCTTAGTGAAATAATAGAAGGCATTAAAATGACCTTGTGAACAATGGACTGGCAACAATGTAACTCATGAATAATGATAATAAATGACTTAAACTACATTCATGGTAAACAGTGGAAGACATGTAAATATTAGGCCATCTCTTACCGAGTTTGATGAAAAATTTTAATTTTTAAGTATCATCATATTGTAACCATTGTAATTATTAGTGACATATGAATAAACTTGTATGAAATTTTACATATAAATTTAATTAATTTCGTTTTATTATGAAAACACCCATTATTAATGTATACAAAAAACAAAAAAAAAAAAAACTTTCACTGCAAGTCTTTTACACAACTATCTTATCAGACAGTCATTTTATAAACCACTGCAAATATATTTAAATATGTATACACTGTAATCTGTCAATTTACATTAAATCTGGTATTCGAAACTTAAAGCACGTCTGTTCAGTTTTAAAAATGTTTATGCCTTAATTTATCCTTTTCTATAGATGACGCTGCCCTCCCGCCAGATGTTTGATTCGTGATATATTTTTAAAATTTTGCCGTGTGTTTGTGGCAACCGATTAAATGAAACCAAACGACTAGTATTTGATGCTAAGAAAGAATGAACTCATATAAACAATTCTAACAGCTGATAAAGTCAAAATCTTATTAAATTCTTTGAGTCTCTTTACTGTGCCGAATTCAAGTATTTCCAGGTAACTATGTTGATGAAATTTCCAGGTAATAAGTTGATGAAAATTCAAGGTAAGCTATTTAATAATTATTAATTATTGAACTTACCAGCAAACACTGGAGGGCACCGACGAGATATTAATAGTAAAAGACGAAAATACAAATCTAGTATTCCATTAAAGTTACCTGGTTTACAAAAAAATTGAAGTATGCATTTTTATGTTGTAAATGAAAAACTATAAGGAAGTTTTAGTCGTATTCAGATTATTTTCATGTAAAATTCATTCTTAAACTCTGGTTTCTATTATAAATTTTTTAAGTATATGTTTGAAGTTTGCACAACATCTGTACATAACTATATTGTATGTAATTTTATTTTTTAAGGTAAAATAAACATGTTAAAAAAGGAAATCATCAGTTCCATTAACGTATCGAACTCAAATCAAGTAAATTGCAAGATTTGCTGGAACTGTTGACAATGCTTTAACATCAGAAAATCTAGAGAAAATTCTTACATTAAAATCAAATCTGCAAAGATGTCGTGACAAGCTTGAAGAATATTATTATAGATGTTCTTGAAGATTTTGATAAAGAATCTGAGTTTAAAAATTGACGCAAGATTTGGCAGGCGAATCGTTAGTTAAAATAAAAACGTATCTTAATTCATTTAATAAAGAATCACAGCTCAATGATGATAAGATGGTAAAATCTGCTTCATCATAATATGTTTATAAAGCTTTCAAAGTATGATCTTCCAATGTTTTCTGGCCAGTTGGAATCCTGATTGAGTTTTAAATCCATATTTTTAAGTTCTGTTGATTCTAATGTATCTTTAATTGACATTCAAAAATTGCAATACAGTACAAAGTCCTTAATCCGGACTCGTCAGGACTTCGGCAATTCTGGATTAGAAGTTTTTCTGGATTATAGATCATCAATTTAAATCTGGTAAGATGGCATGCAGAAAATATACAGTTTAAAATGTGAAATCGTAATTTATGAAATAAAGAACAATTATGATCTAAAGGGTATCAAAATTTACAAAAAAAGCTTAATATTTATTTGTTTACTTTATAAACATTTATTTCAATGTAAGTTGTTTTAAGATGCTTCCACAAAAATTCAAAAATTCTTTTTTCTTGTGTCATATATAGTGGCCTTTCCAATGCCATACTTCTCGCATAATTTTGAGATGGAATATACCTTTATCCATTTTTTTGCAGCAATTCCACTTTTCTTTTAATGGACATTGAAATATGCTTTCGCTTTGTAGATCCTTTGGCAGCTCCAGAATTGGAAAACTCTTTTGACATAATCGAAAGTTCCAAGCTTAATTTTTTATAAATTGCTTCTAATAGTCTGCAAAAAATAATAAGCTGGATCCAATTAGAAGATTAAGGAACAATGCAATCTGCAACATTAACTGAAATAGATAATTTTAGCCTAGCTTATATCGTCTGTTATACATTAAACGCGCATGCGTAAATGTATTATGCGTAAACGCTACGCATGCGCAGAAAGTTTGTAGCTTTGAGGTCCGGGTTACAGACTTTGTACTGTATCTTCAAAGTGCAGTTTTGTCTGATACTGCAAGACTTATTAAGGGATTTGCAATAAGTTCTGAAAATTATAAAGATGCTTGGGACACTTTACTCGACAGATATGATGATTAAAGGGAATTAGGATTTTCTCAGTGTAGAATTTAAAATTTGTAAAACCAACATCTGATTCCATTCGAACGATGATAGATACCTGCAATGAAGTTATTCGGAATTTTAAAACACTTGGTCTAGAATGCAATCAGTTAGTCAAAATTCTTCTAATATTTGCATTACAAGATAAGCTAGAAGATTCACTTAAAATCAAGTGGGAATTAACGCTAGAGAATAAAACATTTCCATCTGTAAAAACGTTTCTTACGTTTTTGGAAAAGCAAGCTATAAGCCTTCATAGCGTAAAGGGAAATTATAATATTCAAGACAAATCAGTAAAATCCATTAACAAAACTTTTGCTCTTAAAATAGTGTAAAAGTTAAGGCAGGATTCTTGTGCACTTTGCCAATTACACATCTTTTACATAAGTGCGAGAAATTTCTTAAAATGAATATCGATTGTACTCCAAAAAGTCTATCTCAAAATCAGCCTTTATATCAACCTTTGGCTAGTATCTCAGAAGAGCAGCAGTTTTGTTTCACAGGAAAAATTCTAATTTAATTTTACTTGCCACAGCAGTAATAAGAGTAAAAAATAATCAAGGACAGTTTCTCGAATGTCGTGCTCTAATTGATAGTAGTTCTCAAACATCACTTCTTTAATCACTGAATCAAGCTAGATTGTAATCGACTAAAACTTTCATCTCAAAAGTCTGAACACACTGTCCTAGGATTTGATGATACAGTTGCCGCACGTGTTATGAAAGTAGCTAATTTAAATTTTGCTCCTCATTTTAATAATGAGAACTTTTCTGTTAAGGATTTAGTAGTCAAAAAGCTGACATCAAATTTACCAAACTTTGATCTGTCAGAATTCAATTGGCCTCATTTGAAAGGATTACAATTAGCAGATCCTTCTTTTAACAAAAGTAGACGGATTGATATTATTCTGAGAGCGGATATATTCTTAGATTTAATTCAAACTGGAAAGAAGGTGGGAAATCAAAACCAACCATCCGCTCTAAATTAAAAATTGGGTTGGCTCATTTCAGGAAGGGTGTTCGTTTCAAATAGAATTCAGAATTCTTTAATCAATTGTCATTCTTTAGTAGATATTGAAAATTTAATGAAAAAATTCTGGGAAGTCAAATCGGTTCCAGAAGTGAGTACACTGCATGATGAAGAGCAAGATGTTGAGGCATTTTATTTAAATCACACTAGTCAAAATTGTGATGGTAGATTTGTTGTCAGTCTTCTATTTAAGAATAAAGCTCTATTGGGCGATTCAAGAAATCAAGCTAGGAAGCGGTTCTTTTCCTTGGAAAGAAAAATTCAACAGAATCCAGAGCTTAAAACTCATTATATACATTTCACGTGGGAATATCAAATGATGAACCGTATGCAGATTGTTCCAAATGTCGATTTTTCAAAATCATCCTCAGAGTTTTTTATTTACCTTATTTTGCAGTTATTAGAGATCAAAGTGAAACTACCAAATTACGGGCTGTATTCAACAGTTCTGCAAAGTCTGATTCTGAAGTTTCTTTAACCGTTTGACTGCTAGACGGCGCAAAAGCAATGCGTTCATTTGTTTCGAAAACCGCGAC